AACACCCCAATGAAGTAGGTGGTATGCTTCTTATGCAAGCCACATTGGACTGGCTTTATGATGAACAGGATATCCACCCGATGAATATGCCCATTATGCAGATTATGGTAAATGATGTGGTTAAATTATCCCTTTAACACAGACCCCACCCCTTCCCTTAAGCCACATTGGACTGGCTTTATGATGAACAGGATATCCACCCGATGAATATGCCCATTACGCAGATTATGGTAAATGATGTGGTTAAATTATCCCTTTAACACAGACCCCACCCCTTCCCTTCACATAATCTTACTGCTGCAAAACCAAAAGACATTATCAGATTTGCTGCTTCCCTTCCCCTCATGGGTCTTACAGATGCTAATAAAAACATTAGGGTCATTAACGAGAATGGGGAAAGGCAAAGGGAGAATCAAAGGACTTATCCCAGGAAGGTGGAAATTTCTAAAAGGCTGTTAAGAAATAAGGTGAATAAAGAAGACATCGATGGAGTAAAACTAAGAGGAAAATGAAAGGGAAGGAGACTTGTCCCAGCAGGGTAGAAATCATTAGAGGGTTATTAAGAAATTTAATGAGTAAGATGGACATTGATGGGGTTAAAACAAAGGAGTTAATACAGCATACTATAAAGCTTAGGTAGGCCAAAAAGACCCCCATCTGGTCCTCCAACATTAAAGGGGCCCCAAAGAAGTAAGTTCTATTTCCTCCAGTTTGGAGAAACTTAAAAAGCTGGAAGGCAGAGATTATAATGACCAATAACTGCCTGGGGCAATAGTCATGTAGAAAGACAAGAACTGACAAACTGGCAGGGGTCCCTCTGCTCAACCCCCTGCTGGGGACCCAAAGCCTTAGGTACAGGGGTGGGTAAAAAGGTCAGGGGGTGGTGAAGAGAAATTCCTTAATATGAGAACCCCACACACTATAGTACCAATATCCACTGGTGAAGCCCTGACTCAGGCCACAATTAGATTGAGAAAGCATAAAAATGTAAAGGCCTGATAAGATTATGTTAGTTGGGTCATTTAAACAGGTTTATGTAAAGAAGTTGTATCTCCTTTACCTAAATGTTTTATGACATTGAATATTATGTCTGGTTAGAGAACACTTCCCCTACCTAGTATTTTAAAACAAAAGGAATGTAAATCCACACTTCAAACAATATTAATCAGACATGCTAAATGGAAACCTCAGTAAAATTTCCCAAGCCCACACAGTGTAGAATAGAAGCTGGAATGCTGATATGGATAAATTCTGATAGCCCTATATGGAATGTAAACCTGAGCATATGGCAAAATCCTGTGTGCACCTCCCAGCAACTACTACTAGGACTTTGGGCTAGAGAATTTCCACTTGAGGGGCATTTACTACCTTGCTATTGGACATTAATTGAAGCTATCCCTATAACTGAAGGACATAAGATAACCTCAAACCTGAAATACTCATGACATCTTGGGTGATGTCGAAGGAACACTCTAATGGGGATGGCACTGCCCAGAAGAGTTCCACAATAAAATGGAAATGGTTTATACATTATCATGCTACCTGCGGATTACAAGGAGTGGATACTCACAAGCAGGGAACCTCTCTTCCTCTAGGACTAACTCAGGAACTGTAAGAGGAGCTGCTAGATTCTATCATCACTTGGACAGTGCTCTATAAACATCTCTCAACTGACTGACAAAGAACTGCTGGATTTGTGGATGGCAGTTCCAAGAGGAACAGACAATATCCTATTTGGAAGGTGCTACTCTAAAGAAGGTAAAAACGAATCAGCTAGGTGGGCTGAATTGCATGCTGTTTTCCCTAGTGGTGATGAAAGAATTGAATGGTGGTTCAATTGAATAGTGATTCAAAAGCCCCTATGTTTGGGTTGTTACTGACTCATGGAAAGTGGCCAATGGCTTGGCCAGACCTCCAAGCAGGAGGGCAATGGAAATCTGGTCTACTAAAGGGATGCCCATATGGGAAACAGACCGATAGAAATTTGAGGGATGCATTATAGCAGGATATGTTGATGCCATCAGGAAAAAAACTCCCTGCCAGATCCAGAAGGTGACAGAATTGACAAACAGATATCCCTGTGTGCTCATCTAAGGTGGCTGCCTGAGTCCATGAATGAGAGGATATGAGGGTACTGCAGCAATGCAGAGATGGGTGGAATCTACCAGAAGGTGACAGAATTGACAAACAGATATCCCTGTGTGCTCATCTAAGGTGGCTACCTGAGTCCATGAATGAGAGGATATGAGGGTACTGCAGCAATGCAGAGATGGGTGGAATCTAGGCATGTTCCTCTTGTACCCTCTCAGGCACATGATGCCAATAAGAACTGTTCAGCTATGGGGCAGATTGCCTGGTGGGAAGGCCCTCCCTGAACACAGCAGCCAGGTGAGACTGATACTGGTAGTCCGGGGGGAGGGGGTGTGCCCTACAAATGGGTCTTGCCAGGAATAGACAACTGATTCTGGATTGGGCCTTGCTTATCTGGTGGAAGATGCCAATGCTCAGAGTGCTATTTTAAAAAAACAAAAACAGAAGATACTGCACAGATTGGGATAGCTGACCACCGTTTCTTCAGACCAAGGAACACACTATATGGGCCATCACGACCAACAATGGACAGAGATGTCCTTCTCAGAGCCAATAGTCTGACAGAGAAGTAGAATGGGCAATTAAAACATTGGTCATCTAAAACAAGGGGAGATAAAGCCATGAAGAGCTGACTTACACGCATTTATAACTGTGCGCTCACACTCAGCGTGAGTGGGACTAAAGGACCACACCCACTAGATTTTCCTCTGTTTTCCTGGTTGATCTGGGGAAGAGGGCGTGAGGAAGGATGCTGGTATGAGTAAGCAATTCTTGCCAATTAGGAGTATGCTGGTATAATGATTATACTTCCTTCCCCACATCACCTCAACCTTTTCTTTCCCCTACCTGTTACAGTGGTCCTAGGGCCAGAGCTGCAACTACAAGTGCTAGAAGCAGAGATGATTCCTAAGCAAGAAACTAACTATGTTTTAAAACCTTATTTCAGAATTCCTAAAGGCCTGCTGTGGGTGAGTTGTGCTTTCACTCCATCTGACAAAACTGTAGTTAATAGTGGATGCAGCTATATAGCCTGGTGGTAAAAACAGCCTACCAGTTCTGCACCTATGCATATCTAAATAGGAGTGGACTGAGGGGGAGGCACTTGCTAAACTACTATTGCTGCCTGCAATCTAGAGCAGCATAGTGGCTAATGCCCCCTCCAAAGGAAAAAAGTTTGGGTAGTAATGGAGAGAAGGAAGAATAGTAGCTGAGGGTAAAGGAATGAATAAATGGGTTATGAATTAAAGAAAATCCAATAATACATTAATACCTCTAAAGAGGCTCAGAGCAAGAGATGACATTGTATCTTAGCTCAATTATACCAGAGGCCTGAAAATATGAAGCTATATATTTGCTGAGACCACTCCTGCTCTTGGAAGCTGACAAGATCAGTGGAAGTCTGCAAACTTTAGCGGCCTTGCCCTGGAAGACATATTCATGCAATATGATGATGGACTCAACTAATTATTAATGACTAAATGAGATTTCTGTAATGTGGCAGTGTCTTTTGAGTTGTAAGAAGGTACTTCAAAAAGTTTATAAAAAAACAGAATTAAAAGATAATAGAAATCTTCCTGTGAACTTTATGAAGTACCCTTGTACCTTTTACTGTAAGGGATCCACATTCAAATACTGGAGGATAAACTGTGATATTGTGAAATATATACTTGGTTTTGGTCCTTGGCTCCTTGCATACAACTCCTAAAATCCTAAGCATTTCCAAAGTGGTAAGTCTTTTTGTATGCCAATGAACTGACTAGTAGCTGGCAGCCTCTAGGCAGCTTCAGGATGGGGACTGGTCACTGGAAAGACTTCTGGAAAGGGGAGAAGGGTTGAAGGTTAAAATGATCACCAATAGCCAATGATTTAATCAATCATGCCTAGGTAATAAAGCTTCCATAAAAACCAAAAAAGACTGGGTTCAGGGAGCTTCTGGATCGCTGAACATGTGGAGGTTCCTGGAGGGTGACACATCCTGAGAGGGCATGGAAGCTCGGCCCTCCTTGCCACGTGCTTTGCCCTACACATCTCTTTATATGCATCCTTTGTGATATCTTTTATAATAAACTAGTAAACAAATGTTTCTCTGAGTTCTGTGAGCCACTCTAGCAAATTAATTGAACCCAAGGAAGGGGTCGTGGGAACCTGATTTATAGCCAGTCAGTCAGAAGCACAGGTAAGACAACCTGGTGCTTGTGATTGGCATTGAAAGTCGAGGGCAGTCTTGCAAGACTGAGGCCTCGATCTGTGGGACCCGATGCTACCTCCACGTAGCCAGTGTCAGAATGGAACTGAATTAGAGGACGCCAAGCTGGTGTTTGCTACTGGAGGATTGCTTGTGTGGTGTGTGTGGGAAATTCCCCTACACACCTGGTGTCAGAAGTGTGTGTGACCATTTTGTGAGAATATAGCAGGAAGAAACTGAGTTTGTTATTCCTATATTCTCAGACAGGATTTTCAAGGTTAGGCATCATTTGATGTGACCTAGCTAGGCATAGTTGGAAGAAAATAAACTTTATTTTAAGACAGAGTACTCTAGCTGAATTTCATTTTCTAAATAACCCAGCTATAAAGTGCCAGAATTATATTCTAAGATACTTGGCAGAATGCCAGTTTTTTAATTTCCATTCATAGCAGAATTTCATGAGACAGTTCTCTATTATATATCTTTTTTATATCATTGATCACCTTGTGTACTATGTACATGCTTTCTTAAGTCTCTAACAAAATACTAAGGCCATGCTACAACTTTTTAAAAATACAAGTTTTTTTATATCATTGATCACCTTGTGTACTATGTACATGCTTTCTTAAGTCTCTAACAAAATGACTTGCATCTTTTAAGAACTTAGCTTTGAACTGTAGCAGAAGTAAATAAAATGCATGCTCAGCACATACTCGCAACATACCTGGGACTATTTGGGTTATGAAATTCATCAGTCTCACAGCTGGCCTCACTGAGACCAGGGCAGGAGCTGTGCACAGCATAAACAGACATGCTGGGATGCTCTATGAGAAGGTTTTCCATAGGACTTGTTTCCACCTTGATAGTGGTTAATCCACCTGCAGTGAAACATGGGGGAGGGGTGATAAACCAGCTCTCCTCCATTGGACAGGACTCAAACTGGAGGAAGCAGGAATCACTTGTATCAGCCAAGCACTCAAGAGACGCAGGTAAACAGGAAAAGACTGAAGGGTGCTCAGTAGGTGATGCTTCACTGATGTCTTCTTCTTCTTCCTCTTCTTCTGCTGAGAAACCAGTGCAAGTATCTAGATTGTAGTCCACATTGCAGTCCACATGTGTGGTGGAACAGTCCCATGGGAGGACGATTATCACATTGAGCCATCATAGTGGAGCCGCCCATCAAATTCAGAGCACAGAAAATGAAGAAACAATACCGTTAGCTGATGCTCACGTTCCATCCTTTATTTAGTTCAGAAACAAAACCATTTATATTCACTCATAATGATTATAACATAACTTCTGAGCATCGTGTGTGTGTGGCATTACTGTATATGATAGATTATGTTGGCTTTGCAGCAATGGTTTTAGGACTGTTTCTATCCTGCTGAATAAACATATAATAAGCTATAGGGCTTACTGCTTGTCTAATATGAGGGTTTCCCATTAAAGCACCTCTGATTCGATCAGACTGTAAGAGATGCAAAACTGGAAAGTCTGATGTCAATCAGTTTCACTGACCATCTGGCACAGGATGTTTCCTAAAATTTTTTTTAGACAAATTCTTGCTTATTCACCTTTAAAGCTTAAAAACCTTCAGTTACTGGTTTACTTATGCAAAAATTGAGATGCAAGAGTTTCCACTTACATTGTGATGATAACCCACTGAGTATACCTTACCTATGAAGTCAACAAGAATCCATTCATCATCTTCTTTCTCACTAAATTCTGGTTCTTGGTTGGAAGAAGTATTGACTTCACCCACAAACATTTTATTCAGCCTCTGGAACATTGTTAAGGCAAGATTGAGACTTTGGCTAGATGTCTTTATAGCTGAGATTTCAAAACCCTGTCTTCAGTTGGCCCAATGGCACCGACAGGAGATTAAAGTGCGCAGGGTGCTTATTCAACTTAGGTGAGCAGAGTCATTATCCCTAAAAGAAAACAGAAAAAGGAGGTTATTTCAAATTGGCATATATTGATAGGTGTGTATTTTACAAGTACGCACACCACCCGCCTTAGAAGAAAGCATATGCTGTAGCCTACATTCTACAGTTATTCCCTTCCTGCAGGAGTCAAACACAAAAAATGCAATATCTCTTATTTATAAAACATTATGAATCAAGTACTCGAATGCAACCTGTAAATATCTTAAAGTGTGAAATACAAGGGAAGGAGTTCTTTTTCATATCTTTGCTTTCATAATAAGGAATAAATTTGGACAATGTATTTCGAATTGTAATACCCCTTTTCTGCAAGTAGACGAACGGAAACTAGATATTAACAGTCTTACTATATGATATTCAACTGCCCAGAAGTCTTCAGATGAACCCAGTGACAGAGTCCAGTGACCACCATTATGCCAGGCCCTCTTTCCCTGGCTCATTTTCCCTTCTGTTCTGTACTTCTTTTATTTTGTCTTTTTTACTGACTGGTAATGGGCTCGCAACCCTCGGTGTTGCGCCTGCACCGCGCTCAGCCAGTGAGCGGGAACCGGTCTCCACGTGGGATCCGAACCCTCGGCGGGAGCGTCACCGCACTCCCAACCCAAGCGGCGCACTCTCCAGTGTGCCACCGGGCCGGCATATTTAATTACAAACTTTAAGCATATTTAATTACATTTATAATCTAGAGGGTACTTCAAATTCTTTGTGAAAAAATGAAATTAAAAGATAATACAAATCTTT